CCGCAGTCACAAACGTTCACTAAAAATAATTGGAGTAAAGTTTCAGGTGAGGAGGAGGAGGAGGAGGACACCGCAAAGGATAACAATAAAGTTGGTCTACCATCTTATATACCCCCTAGTCCCAGTATTCTGTCTTACAGGAACGTTACTATTAGTAAAGTTTAGTTTTTAATTTAGGTAGATACCGTCAAAGTTATAAAATACACTAAAATACACTAAAACTAGAATTAAACCATTAAACTAAATAATAAACTAAAACTAAACTAAAACCAAATTAAAACCAATTAAACGAAACGTAACCACAGTACGAGGGCCTAGCGATGTCTAAGGTGGTATGGCAACTTGTCTGTTGCTCTGTAAAGCAATACAGGGAAATTCAGGGTCCGCAGACTAAGAAGTGGCCAGTCGTCCGGTGGAGTAGGGATTTTTAGCATAGACTAGGAAAATGACTTTGTATGTTTTGCGTCTCACACATGGTAAATTTTTTTATCGAAATGGAACGTGCAATGAAGGTTGTTGCGTTATCATTTAATTAATGTTTCCCTACTCGCAGGGCCACAAACAATCTTTAAGTGTTCTCACTCTGTTTAAACTACCTCGGCTTAAGTTCACACGAGTTGTCAAAAATATACACACTGGCAAAATCTTATCGGGGCAATTACTAACGCAACCCTCAATTAACAGGGTCAAAACCTGAAATCCGAGGGGTCACATTTAATTTGTAAGAGAAAGTACTTGAAACTTAGACATCCCTTAAATAACCGAAGCAAGTAGTCAGACGAAATGTCGACCATACTTCTAAGAAATTACTTCGTTTAAAAAAATTAATCAGTGGGGCTTTTATAATAATTGTAGTGCAGCATCACAGGAAGATATTGCAACCACGTCAGTATTTGGCTTTTGAACTAGTTTCCTTTCAATCATTCACGGAGTCAAGTTAGGCGAACGAACGTTTTCGATTAATTCACCATCAGGCAAATACAAATTTCAATCACCTTGAAAAACCAAACTCTGTAAAAATGACCATTTAGTTTCGCAATGATTTTCGATGCCCATAAAAATCTCGACCAATTTCATATAAAATGGTTTGTTGTATAGGCCTTTTGTAGAAAATTACGTCTTTCTGAAATTATATACTTACCTTCCGATTTAAAAAACATCTAAATTGACGAATGATTCTGGAGCCAACCTGTCGTTAAACTTGCATTTAGGATTTCAAAACTACATGCCGTATGCACCCCGTCCAAGGATAATCACCCAGTTCTCAGTGCAGTAAGGAAGATCTCACATGATACTCTTCAATCTTTGCAACAGATGTGGACCATGTTCTATACTTTCTAAGCAACATTAACAAATGAACAGATAAGATGCCTCATGGTCATCATTATAACATTTTTAAAAAGTCAGGATACCTTTTCTTCAAATATACTAATTACACAGGATATAATAAGCTAGCAACTACGTACAAGAACGAATATTTTCGCATGTGATTTCAATAAAATATATATTGCAGTATAAAGCCACCACTTCATTCTACATACATCCATAGTCATTGTGTCAGAGGTTAGTCTAGCCAGGCAATCGGAAAGAAACTCGTTCAAAAGCCGGTGTTCTACCGTCACTGAAATATTTGGCGATTTTACCGCATGATAATTAGTATTACAGCCCTACTCAAGTCTTCTTTTCTCGAATCGTAAACACATGTCAGGTTTTTGGTCGATATTTCTTTTACTGTACTTGTGCTGGGCCAAAACGGATGTCTGCACAAGGTATTAGATTTGATCTCAGACTCATATTGTTGGGATTATTCCTAACAAGCGGTCCGAGTGAACACTCAGGACACGTTATCGGCCCGCCTACAGACAATGAACGTACGCGATGTGCGCGCGCCTAGGCGACACACCAGCCAGCTAGGATAAGGTCATGCACCTACGGGCGCGCGCGTGATGGCCAATCAAGCCTTTAGGCACATGAAGACAACCTGATTGGCCCATCTATAACTTTGCTTATTCAATATAGCCCCATTCAAGGGGCAATAAACGACCTCCTTTCCCTTACGACCTTGTTCTTTGTTCTCCTAGCTGAACTGACACAAATAGACTAGCGGCACAAATCTAGCCTGGGAACCCATTACAACACATATAACATGAATATAAATTGATGTCCGCCCGTGAAGTATTCTTCCCGGTTCTAGACATTTTAGGTAAGCGTATTTGTGAGGAAAGTGACATAAAAGTAAGGGCGCTTCGTCGAAGCCAATATGATACGGGGTTAGGTCCGGCGCTGAGAAATCTCACAGAACCTCAGTGGATAAAACAAATCTTAAGTGTTTAAAGGAAGCACTAACCTGGATCTTTTCTCCAGCAGTCAATGAAGCCGTCGCCTTCGAAGCCATGATTGCATCGGCACTTACCAGCAGAACACGTGGCGTTCTCATGACACGCCAGGTTCGTGCACAAATCATCCACAAGAGGCACTAGGGATGGACAAAATGTAAATGAGCGATCAGGTGATTCGTTAAACTGCCTAGAAACTCCTGCTGACCAAATTGTTTGACTGCTTCCTGAGAGTCATCGTAGATAAGTCATCAATTTCAGACGCAAAATGAAATGTACCACAGCCATCGCATCTTCCTCCTCGGTTATATAAACTACCTGGCCCTAGTTTGCACCTTTCGCATTGGTCCATCTTCAGATTCCGATCAAGTATTGAGTTCAATCCCGTCTTTTTTCCGGGTTAAACACATAATAAGTCGTTCATGTAGCATGCCACCTGGTCAGTTACTGAAAACTAAAACAAATGTTTGCTATATTTTTGGACACGTTTCTGCTTAAGATCACAGATAGATGTATCTTGGAAGGGAAACTGAGTGTTAGCGTTCGCCTTTCGCCTTGAGGACAGAGGCTGAAAGTAAGGACGAGAAGGTTTTATAAGATGATCCTAACCAACAGTGTAATAAGAAAAGCCAACTTTTTAAATTGTTTGGTGAAGATAGATGGAGGCAGTTGCAAGGCAACCTGGTAATTTTGCGTCCATTTTCACACTGTGAAGTCAGATTAGCATGGAATCAAACCAAAACCATCTGGTGTCGAGCCAAGCGATGCCCGAAAGTGTCTGACAACAGTGACGTAAGCCGTACTTTTCGACTAAAGCAGACCTATGCTAAAGAGATTGCATGAAAGACTGCAAAAAATGCTCGGGAATACTACTTACGCGCGGTGCTGTAGCAGTAGGAATTAGGGTCCCCAGTGTAATTGTCTGGACAGGCACAACGTCCGCGGATACAGTAGGCGTTGACTCCGCAGCTCACGCCAATGCACGAAGCTTAATTTTACGAGAAGAAAGGAAGCATACGCATATAAGTTTTAAGTTTCTTTCCTTCAATGATGCAATTCATTATGGAAACTCTCAAAGACTGTTTGAATAATTAGCTAGAGGAAGCAGTGGCTGCAAGACGTTAACTTACAATCATAAATGGGCTGGCAGGCGAGATAAGGATCGCCGGTGAAGCCCTGGAAGCAGATGCACGCACCGTCTTTGCAGTAGGCGTTCGATCCGCACTGAATGCTCGCACAACTATCTAAATTTTCACGAGAGAAAGTGAACGAGTATATTTTAGTCTCTGCAATCATAACTTATTTAATTTTCAGAAAAAATGATATGTAGGCCGTTTAACTCGTGCACGTAACCTCGAGAAATGATTAGGATTGTTCATGCGACCCCGCCCTTCGGTGGTAGGACATTATAATAGGAACGCCCCAAAATACAGGAGGTCCTGCGATAACGTCCACGTAAGGTAGGTTCAAGATTGGGAGTTTTGTTAGGATAATTGGTAGGATATAGGTAAATTTGGGGTCAATATTGGAGTTCTGGTTAAGGCTTTGTTGATGGTTAGGAACTAGGGGTGTCCCCTGTATAACACGGAGTCGTTTCTGTTTGCCTGCTCTGAGGGGGATCCACGTGGGGAGGGGTCAGTCAGCAGGTGTGTTATAGCTGGCATGGCACTTTTTTGTCCTTGATATGATTTAAAAATTCCCATAGATCAAAATTATTTCAACTAAAAATTTAATGTGATGTGCTCAAAAGTATAATCATAACTATCTACTTACATAGTACAAGTAGGGGTATTTGGCTTAAGTTCGGCTCATTACTTTCGCGGGATTTTGGTTGCTGCCGACTGAAACATTACCCTCATTCTATAGCATTCCCACAACTTCTGACTCGGAATTAGCGCTACTGCGCTGTTTTTTTTCTACGGACTGCCCTAGTTACTATTATGCGTCGGCTATACCCGTGGAACACAGTTTTCCCTCGTCGGTTTTCCCATCATTGACATTTTGGCGATAGATTACTTCATGCTTGGGATTTCGGCACTATAGCGCATAATCTCTGTCTCGCCATGTTTTTTTTATTTTTATGTGATCTTAAATGTCAAGAAATCGTTTCAATATTTTTTTAAATGGAAAGCTTTCGGTAACATTAGCCTT